TTAATTCTGTTAACTTTTGCCTTATATATTATGCTCATTTATTAGGCATATACACATTAATGGTATTATGTCTTCAAGGTGGAACTACCTTTTTCTTTATGAAATGTCCTTCTTTATCTTTGGTAATAATCTTTATCTTTATTTTATTTGGTATAAATATAGCCACACCAGCTTTCTTGTACTATGTTTGAATGGTACATTTTCTTTCATCCATTCACTTTTAACCTATCATTTTCTTTACAATTAAAATATACCTTCTATAGAGAACATATATTTACCATTTGCTATTTTATCCATTTTGGTAATCTTAATTAAAGTATGTCCTCTATAGGCAACAGATAGTTGCAACTTGATATTTTATCCATTCTGGTAATGTGTGCCTTCTAATTTGAGTAGTTAGTCCATTACCATATAACTACTGATATGGTAAAACTTAGGCCTACTTCTTCATTGTTTTGTTTGCTTTCTTTATGTTTGTTCCTTTACTTTTCATTTTATGTTCTCTTTTTGGTAGTGGGGAGAATATTTGAAATTTTATTTCAGTTTATCTCTTTGCATTGATTTTTTTAGAAGATGCTCTCAGGATTACATTACACATCTATAGCTTTCCACTGTATTCTTAATGTTACTATACCACTTAACATAAAATGCAGAACTCACATTCCTGTATGTCCATTTACTCTCTCCTCTACCATTATCTTATAGCTGTCAGAAATATCATATGTACATACAATATAAACCTCACAAAAAAAGTTATAATTTTTTTCTTTGGGTAGTTGTATGTATTGAAAGCCAATTAAGTGATAAACATTTCTCAGATGTTTATTATTGTCAATGATCTTTATTTGTTTCCAAAAATTTAGGTTATCTGTGGTATTTCTATTTAATCTGAATAACTTTCTTAAGCATTTCTGGTGGTAACACATTTGATTAGTTTTCTTTACCTATAAAATCATTATTTCATCTTAATTCTTGAAACATATTTTCCCTAGATGTAGAATTCTAAGATGATTGTGTTTTTATCTGCTTTCAGAACTTTAAAATTTTTTTTTTTTTTTTTTTTCTTTTTTTTTTTTTTTTTTTTTTTTTTGGTCTTCTGGCTAGTATTGGCATCTGATGAGAAGTCCACAGTCATTTAAGTTATAGAACATGTCATTTTTGTCTTTAATTTTCAGCAGTTTTACTACATGCCTAGGCATAATTTTCTTCAAATTTATTCTGTTTACAGTTCTCTGAGCTTCCTGACTTTGTAGATTTATTTATTTCACTAATTTAGGAAGGTTTTGTTTATTATTTCTGCAGCATTCTTTCTCTTCTCACCTTCTGAGATTTCATTTAAACTCTAGAATCAAATAAGCAAAGTGAAGTGCATACAGTAGAGATCAGAATATTATATCTTAGTTTCCATGGATGAACTAGAGAGACTTAGTGTAATGACGAATGAAAACAGCTATACTGTTCTTATGAAATTTGAGCTGATTTATGACTGAAGCATATCAGATATCAGAAAGCTAATTCAAAAATGTCTGTTTTGAAGAGTTTATTTGGAGATATAGGAAAAGAATCAGTAGGATGTGTCTAAAAGAAATCACCTAGAAAATTACATGAGGTGTCAGAAGCAAAACTTGGTGATGCTCTTGACCAAACATTGAAACTTATATCTGTTTCTTGTAGCACTGCTTTGTTTTAATGTGTAATATAGCATAAAGTGGTAAGTTTCATATGGATAGTTTGCATGATGATTGTCTCTTTGGAGTTGCCTTTTCTTTCTTTTACATCCAATTGAATACAGAAATTGCGTACCAAGAATGATGAGAGAATAAAAGTAGAGTGAAATACATTGAAATAGGAGCCCAATACTTGAATGAAGAGGAGTTACCCACAATTTTCATAGCACCTAGAATATGTAGAAGGTGGTGACTTTTGATATGAGCTTCAAAAGAGTTGTTAGTTTTGAAAGAAGTAAAAGGAAAAATATTTGGAAGAGCCAATGGAGAGTAAGAAGGACTCCTAGCTGATCTTTTAGCCCTGAGATTTGGGAGTGGGGGCGGACATGGGAAATAAAACAGTCTACAGGAGAGCTGGGTTCTCTGAAGAAACCAATTAAGACAAGGAGGTCAGGCAAACATTCAGAGAAGGGAATAAGGATAGAGAATTGTTGATCAGAAATCTGGAGGATTTATGATCAGTGCAAGAGTCTAGGAGCATAAGGAGAATTCAAGATTGTGTTAAAAGAATTAAGTATAGTGGAAATTCTTTGATTTTTCTTCAGCCATTTTCTTTTTGGCAGAGCCTTAACTGTTGGGTGTTTGCCCTTCTTCAGGAGGGTATGTGTTCAGTAAGGGTTATTTTCCTTCCAGCCTGAGGATCTCTTGATGGGTCTATAATCCAATCCTTATACCTCTCTTCCCTCTGGCAATGGTTAGTTTGAGAAGGGGTATATAACCCTATTATGCCTAATGAAATGGGAGGAAAATTCAGTGGATATCATCTATAAAAAGCTTTCCTCTGTTAAAAGAAATGCAAAAGAGGAAATAGCTGTTCTCGTTTGTACTTTTTTGTCCTGAACATCACAGTGTGAATAAATATATATATGTGTGTGTGTGTGTGTGTATGTATGTATATATACACATATATTTATACACACACACACACACACATACACACACACACACACACACACACACACACACACACACACACATATATATATATATAATGCCTGGAGCTATAATGCCCAACATGGACCATAAGGAGAAATTCAGATGTAAAGTCAAGGGTGTTATGCCTTGCTGCTCTTTTTTGGACTTCTGTATTTCATTTCAGTGTGTTCTCTAAAAGATGGGAGGCAAAAGTTCATGATTAATCTTTCATTTGAATTTAAGGAAATATATATTTTGTCTAATTATAAGACTTTTATCTGCTCACTGTGGAAAATAAAACAATTACAAATGATACACAGTAGGAATTAAATATTTCCAACCTCACTGTTTTTATGCATATAAAAAAACTTTTATCTATAAAAACATTAATGCTTTTTTACAGATACTTTAAGATATTAAATACCTGTAATCTGCAGTTTTTATTTAATATTATAGAAAGGGAAATTTTCACAAAGAAAAAGATGCTTGAGGAGTCCTAATGGATGATTAATAGCTTGCAGGTGGAAAAGACGAATGAATAGAAGTGATAGAGGGAGGTTCAGGTAAATAAGACATTTCTATTTGAGAGACGACCTTGTGCAAAGGCTAACAGGTGGTCACCTCAAGAGAAAAATGAGTATAGTAGATGATATAGAGCAGAGAAGTTTATAAGGAGTGTGGTGGGATGTGAAGCTAAAAATGCTGAAGGGTGGATTAGATGAGAAAGAGTCCCATATGCCATGTTGGAGTATGAAGTTTATAATGCAGGGCGTAGGGAGCCAGAAGATTTTAAGCAATTAAAAAATATGATCAGACGAATGTTTTTAAAACATCACTATTTCTCAAGGTCAAACAACTGACTTTCAGATTCTAGTCTTGGCATTTAATAGTTATGAAATCATGAACAAGTTATTTAAGTACTCTGCTGCCTCATTTTCAAAATAGAGACAATGGAAGAAGAGTCATGAGGATTAAATGAGATAACCCATGTGAAACCACCTGGTGAAGTTCCTAGCATGTAATACGTTTTCAATAAACATTAACTTTCTTTACTGCTGATCTTTTCTGGTAGTCTGATAGTTAACTAAAAATCTAATTTACAAAAGTATTATTGCTCTACTGATAGGGAGAAGAAGTTTGGGAAACTCTTTTAAAATATTACTTCAAAGTGAATCTTTTTAAGGACTATATTTGTGAGATCACTTTGATGCTCCAGATCATTTAAACCAAGAACCAATTGAACATTGCCCAAATTCAATTCAATAAACATGTATTATATAATTCCTGGATAACAGGCAGGAATTAAGCCCTAAGGGATATAAAAATAAAAATTCATGGACTTTAACTTCAATGAGATAAATAAACAAGTGCATACAATATGATAAGAACAATAGTAGACGTATATGTTAAGTAGACTGCCCAACTGGTGTCTTGCAAAGATTATGATTTTTTTCAAAACTTCTTCATTTACTAATGAGCAGTAGGAAGGTACACTGTTGATATAGAGGCATGACATTCATCCAGGGTGTTTTCTCATACCCAAGCCTTTGCTGATTGTGTTTACCATGGAATGTGTTCTTTTCTGGGGAGCATAATGTGAAAACTGCAGTTATTCATAAATATTTAAAAGCTGGAGTGGGCAGAAAAATAAAAATTTCTCCTAGTTTTTTTAAGTTCTTCTGGCTGGACTAATAATCAAATTAACATGAGACAGATCAACAGGAGAAAATAACAAAATTTAATACATATGTACACATGGAGTTCCAGTGGAGCCTGATGACAAATCAGGAGTTAAGGTTTATATGCCATCTTGAGCTAAGGAGAAAAGATGGGGGAGGGGGTTGTGTTTCGAGACTTCAATGGATAAGAAGGCAATTTAGAGGGAGATAGAAAAGCAAATGTTTGCTAAGTAAATGTTTGCTCTGCCATCTTTAACAATGGGACATGGAGAGAATTCCTATCAATTAGTTTTGCTAGATTCCTCCCTGCCTATCACACTTAGTTCAGATTAAATTCTAGTTTCAATGATGTCTCCCTTTCTGGAGCAGGTCCTCTATCTAAATTCCTTTTAGGCAGTAGGGTGGAAGGTCAAAGGTTTTTTCTGAGACTTTTGTTTGTTGGAAATAACCATCTTAAAATAATCAATGTCCCCAAAGGCACATTTTGAAGAGTGCCAAACTCTGTTCTCTCTCACTGACAAGTCTAGCAATTGATATCTCTAGATGAGTTTTTTATATCTCTGATATAGAAATGAGAATGTAATGCCTAAAGTATAAGTAATGCATCTAAAATGGTTCTTAGGCACATCATCTGAATATAATAGTCTTTAACTCCACTTGTATTTTATTTTCACTTTAGTTCTTTTACAAAGCTCCCTCATCTGGCAGGAACAGAACAAAATTTATTGCTCGCCAAGAAAATTCAAACCCAGTGGGAGAAATTTGGACTGGATTCGGCCAAGCTGGTTCACTATGATGTTCTCCTATCTTACCCTAATGAGACAAACGCCAACTATATATCAATCATGGATGAACGTGGAATTGAGGTGATGTAAAAGTGTTGGTACTTCTTGTACTTTACTACTCCACCTTTTAATGTGAATTGAAATTTAGAGTCAAATAAAAAGAAACTTGTTAATAATGCAATGAAACTCATATTTTCTAGATAAGTCATTAAGTTACAAACTAATCAGTGTCTAATACAGAGAAAACTTTAATAGTGCAATGAAACTCATATTTCCTAGAAAAGTTAATAAGTTACAAACTACTTATTCAGTGTTTACTATGTGTTAGGCATAGTACTAGGTCATGAGGCCAGAATGAAGAGTAGGACATGGTTCCTTTGCTTAAACAAGGTGAGGCAGACATTGGAACACATCGTTTCAAACCAGTATGGTAAGTGCTATGAAGAGTATGGTTAGGGTTCTTTACAAAGAAAGGGCCACAGACCAGTGTAGACATAAGAACATTCAAACCTGTAGAGAATCTTTATGAGTTTATTTGAGCCAAACTGACGACATATGCTGGGTTGCAGCTCTTTATGTATTTAAAATTAAGGAGGGAACATAAGGAAAGTTATGTGGAGGTGGGAGAAAGCAAGGTGGGGATTTCATTACAGGATAATTAACAAGGTTATGTGCTCTCTTGAGAGTGGTTACTGCTTATTTCAAAGGTGTGTTAACCTAGATGCACAGAAACAATGGACAGGGTTTGCTTAAGGCAAAGATAAACCTTTTACTTAAAAAGTTATATGCCTGGAATGTGACCTGCCCAGCTAGGAATTTATAATTAGAACACCATGTACAATTATTTTCCGCAGAACTCTTTTTTTCATCCATACCAGCCTGGGAGTCAGAGAAGAGTTGATGAGTCATGAAAAATTCTAAAGAATTTATCATGGAAAAGCAAGATAAGAGAATTCTAGGCAGAAGATTTATCATGGAAAAGCAAGATAAGAGAATTCTAGGCAGAAGATTATATTGGCAAAGGCTTGGAGACATATGCTAGTTTAGTATTATTGAGAGAATTTAAAGATTTTTCTGTATGTAAAGAATATAAAATACAGAATGAGCCATGATAAGAGATAAACTAGTATACAGTTGACCCTTGAACAACATGGGAGTTAGGGGTGTCAACCCTTAACCTATGTATAACTTTGACTTCCCAAAACTTCACTACTAATAGTCTGCTGTTGATTGGAAGCTTTACTGATAGCATAAACGTCAAGTAACACACTTTGTTATATGTATTTTACACTGTATTCTTACAATAAAGTATGCTAGAGAAAAGATGTTATTAAGAAAATCAAGATAAAATACATTGAAAATGTATTTATAGAATGTATTTATTGAAAAAAATCTGCATATAAGTAAATGGACTGCACAGTTCAAACTTGTGTTGCTCAAGGGTCTGTATATGTTTTGGGGACAGGTCATAGAAGGGCTATACACAGTCCTAAGAAACTTAGAATTCAATTTTAGTCAATGGAAACCATTGACAAGTCCTAAGTAATGGAAGTGTGTGTCTAGAGAGGCATTTTAGATAGTTTGGGCAGTCTGTAGATTACACCTGACTAGGCGATGGGTTAAAATTGGAGTCTTAAGACAATAGTCCAGGTAAAAGAAGACAAAGCCCTGAATTAGGATCTTAGGAGGAATGAAGAAGGGGGATAGATTTGAGAAATAGTTAGGAAGCAGTATTGGCAGGATTTGATTAGTGTGATTGCCTGGAGGAAGGAGGTGAGGACAGAGTCCTGGTATCTGGTGTGTGGCTAGCTAGTGATGCTAATAGTGGTAGGGAATGCAGACCCAGAATCAGGCCTGGAGTGAGAGAAGGTAAATTCATATCTTGCTGGTTTTAGTTTGGACATCCAAGCTGAAATTGTATCAGGCCCTTAAATATACAAGTCTTGAAAGCTAGGCATTGTAAGCATATGGATAAAATTTTGAGAGTCAATGAAGGAAGAGAATATAAAATGAGGCTAGCAGTATACTGGGGACAAAACATAGAGAAACGTTATTTAAATGCAGTTGAAAAAAGAGGAGCCCACAAAGAAAGCTGAAAGGAATAGTTGGAAAAGGAAGAGAATCATGGGAGTACCACCCTTTGAAGCCTGTTTTTATGCTTCATACGGGAGCTTTTGTTTACCTGAGATTGCATGCATTTATGTCAGTTTCTACTATTTTGAAGACAACAATAATGATAAAGCTCTTTTTTGTTGTTGCCAGTGAAATTTATCTGTTTAATAACAGAACCTAGTTTCAAGATGCTTAACCTTAAGTGGATACTTGAGGCAAAATACATTATTCTTTAATAACAATGCAGAATATTTCCAACTTCATGTGTTTTGATGCTTGCTAGATTTTCAAAACATCATACCTTGAGCCTCTACCAGATGGATATGAGAATGTTACAGATATTGTACCACCATATAATGCTTTCTCAGCCCAAGGCATGCCAGAGGTAAAATAAAAGACATTTTCTTATTCAACTCTTTAAACCTTCCTTTGTTATATGAAACCTCTGTAGAGGACTAAGCCAAAATTAGGAAGATCATACATCCTGATCCATACTTTGAGGTTCAGTGCTATGTATACTCTACCTAAAAATAATTTAGGAAAAAAGAAAAAAAAAAAGGATACCAGAAAAAGAAAGAAAATAAATACATAAAAATCAGACTCTATTGAAGCAGATGCTACTCTTTGAAATACAAAAAAACGTTCAGTAAGGGTGGTAGATGTTTTTAGAAGCTTTTTCCTTTGTTTGTAGTCTGACTTCATTACAGATTTATAGATATGATTTCATAGATCACACTACAGAAATTTAAAAATTAATACCATGGTTGGAAATTAAACATAGCTGGAATTTTAAAATGACTTTTATTTATTCTATTTCCTGTGACTCAGTATACACTGATAATTTCTGTAAAATAAAATACATGATTTTCTGCATATATTGAAATATTTTCAAACTACTTCCATAGACTCAACATGGATCTATTTCTTAAGCCCAAGCCAGGAAAGATAATTTTTGATGATGCAGTGTCGGGGAGCAAACTTATTCTTTGGTTTTCTCTTTAATTATAGCAGTATTAAGTATTTTTCTCTTTTGTTTTC